AGAGAGATGATTGCGAAAACATCGAAAGGAATGGGATTGAGGTCTACGTAACTTCAGTTAGCTTTAATGGGAACCCTACTTGTGTTTTGAAATATAAACAAAGTTCAAAGGGTACAAACAAGTTAAAGTCTAACTTAGACAAGACACTAGAGTAGTAGTTAAAACCCATTCATAAAATCTCTAGTGTATGTATTCTGCATGGTAGAGGCTGGATTTAATTCCTTAATAAGTTCTATTGAGAGAGAAAGTAACTCGCAGAATTACTTTATAAAGAACTTAGCTATGTGAGTGAGAAAGTCAGGCCGCTTTCTATGAGATTTAGACCGTCTCTAAAGCACTCATGAAATTCGGGATATACGCAAGGCCATTAATGCGTTGGTATAAAAGAGACACTCTTTATCGGAATAGTATGTGTAATGACTCCGGCTAGTCATGATAGGGTCCTTGGTTCAAGATTCGTTCACCATAGCACCTTGACGAAACTTTGAGTTGTTTGCACTAAGTGAAAGTTCAAAGTCAAAAGCTACTTTCATTTATGTACAATTTCCTACGATGTTGCTATATGTGTGTGTTTGCATGAAATACGGTGGCTTGATCCCGTTAAGGGTACGTAGGCAATCAATTGTTGTGATGCAGCCGTTTCATTTTCTCTAAACCAAAATTTTGAAAAATAGGGGGGATATGTTAAATATTTTTCATCTTTTGCGTGTTTATGTTTTGATTTGCGAATGTTTTGCTGCCCCGACTAGTGTTTGCCGCTACGCAACGGGGATCGACCTGCCCGGTCAGGTCGCGGAGGTCGAGGGGGCAGCGTCCCCCGTGGGGGTTGTCCCCGAAAGAGAATTTTATTTTCAGAAGACTTTGAATAGGTATATTTCTTCCAACAGATGAGTCCATTCAATTCAATGGGCACACCTATTCGAAAGGTTGCCTCCACTTCTATATATTCTGGGCAAATTCTCATTTCCAAAATACAATAAGAAAAATTCGTTATTTTCTATTCTTCTCTCTTTTCTCTTGGTATCATCAGTTTTTTTATAAAGTGTTTTCTTGGTTTGATCAAATAGTCACAATTTGAATCAAACGCCTCCATTGTATCCTGAGAGAGATTTT